AACTGGAGTGTGAGGTATGGGGGCCTGGTTGGGTAGAGGCAGGAAAGGGGCTGGGAGGTGAGCCCCAGAAATGCTCTTTCCATTTGTCTGGGGGCGCTGGGAGGCTGCTGGACTGCTGATTAACTTATTCCCCAGTGAGCCTTAGGTGAGGCCCAGTCCCCTCGGACAACAGCTCCCCTTGTCTCTGTGTGTGGGTGACCCCTCTGATTTGTCTGGTCATTTAGTTCTTCTTTGAGGAAGAAGGCTGGATAAGGAGAGACTCTGCTTGCCACCCTGAGCAGGTTCTCTTTGCTTTGAGTTGTGTGGACTTCTGTGAGTAGACACCTACTGCTCTGGGGAAGGACAGGCATGACGGGCCAGTGTGGGCCCCGTTCTCACACACTGCTTTACAGGTGGAGCTGGAAGGCTGCTAGGAGGAGGTGGCAGCTGTGCAGTGGCCCTGAGCAGCCTCGGGAACCTGCCTCCTGCTTGCTGGGGACCCTCATGACTCACATCTCTAGGAGATGAAGGCAGATCCTCTGAGGTCAGCTGGGGCCTTGGGAAGGAAACTCTCTGAGCTTGGGAGATGCTGATCCAGTGCCCCTGGCCGAGCCAATCAGGGCCACTCTGAGCATGCTCGAAGGAAAAGTTTTCCTTCTCACTCCATCCTTGGAGGGATTCTGGCTGGATTCTGGGCGGCACACATTGCCTTAGTCGTAGTAACAGCAGGGGACCAGGACAGCCCTGTGTGATTTGCACAGCCACCCCCACAGGGCCTCTATTCTTCAGTTTTCTATCCCAAGGGGACTAGTCGAAAGATCACTGACCCTTTAAACTGAGTAAGTCCTTGGGGAAAGCTGGATTTATGGAAGAGCAAATTCCCGAAAAGAGAGAGCGTGGGCTAGAGCCATGTATTTATTTACTTATTTATTCATTCTTTTTTTGTTTTGTTTTTCTTTACTAATTCATCTCTTCGAAAAAAAAATATAAATAATACGGAAATCAACAAAGCCAGAAAAATGTTCCCCCTTGCCCCTTGTATATTTCCTTCACTCCTGCTTTCCTGGGATGCGCACATTTAGAGCTGGGAGGGTGAGCTGCACACCCTGCCCACAAATAGGATGGGAAATGTGATTTCCTGAAAAATGGAACTAAAGCAGGAAAGTTGAATAAGAGGAAGAAGAAGAAGGAGGAGGAGGAGGAGGAGAAGTAGAAGGAGGAAGAAGGGGAAGGGGGATGGGGAGGAGGGGGAGAGGGGAAGGGCAGGGAGGAAGAGGAGAAGGAGGGAAAGGAGGGGAGGAAGGAGGGAGGGGTGAGGGGGTGAGGAGGAAGTGGAGGGGGAGGGAAGAGGAAGGGGGGAGGGAGGAAGAGAAGGGGAAGGAAGAGGAGGAGGGAGAGGAGGAGGAGGAGAAAGTGGGAGATATCTTTTCAAAGTTCTTTTTCTGTGCATACAAAAATAGGAATGAACACTTTAGGCCTCTTCCCACGGTAGTTGTGTAATCCCACCTGGCCCATTCATTCCGATTGCACAGCACAAGAAGGAGGTCCGTAAGGAGCAGCTTAGGTCGTGGGCAGGATCTGTCAGTTGCATGAGCAGAGCATCTTCTTTGGCCATTGTTGGGGCCATCTCTGCTCAGCCAGGCCTTTCCCTGTCCAGGGTCACTGTGTCAAAAGTACAGGAGGAATCGGAAAAAGGCCAAAGTGGTCTAAGGTGCAGGGGTGAGGTGTTAGGTGAGGGGCTGGGCTGGTCTCGGGGTAGGAGGGCAGGTGCTGGCAGAGAGGCCTTTGCTGGCTTGGGGCACTTCCAGCCACAGGAAGTGTTTGTTCTTTTCAGGACAGGTCAATCCTTACTTCCATTCAGCAAACACATTTTGGGTGCGATCAAAAGCGGTACAAAGACGAGTTCTAACTGAGAGGAGTTTGCCGCCTTTAGAGAACGTCCAGGCCGGGCGCCGTGGCTCACGCCTATAATCCTAGCACTTTGAGAGGCTGAGACTGGCAGATCATGTGGCCAGGAGTTTGAGACCAGCCTGGCCAACAGAGTGAAACCCCATCTCTACTAAAAAAATACAAAAAATTAGCTGAGCATGGTGGTAGGTGCCTGTAATCTCAGCTACTCAGGAGGCTGAGGCAGGAGAATCGCTTGAACCTGGGAGGTTGGAGGTTGAATGAAGTGAGCCAAGATCGCCCCACCGCACTCCAGCCTGGGCGACAGAGCGAGACTCTGTCGCAAACAAAGAAAAAACAAAACTGTCCAATTTGGGCACTGTTAGAGAGATTCAGAATGTTCTGGAAGTCCACAGTTGGTGAGAGGGGACCAGAAACACACCTCAACAGTAAGCGCTCCTGAGGACAGGCCAGGAGCCGGTGCCGCGCTGAGCCCTCCATATACCTGATCATTCCATTCTCACTTTGGAGCTGGCGATCGTCCCCTCCTGTCATGAACTGGGAAAGTGTAATTTCACTGAACAGACTCAGAAGGATGTGAAGTGACCTGCCCAGGGCCACATGGCTGGAAAGTGACCATGCAGAAGTGAAGGAATGAAGGTCTGTGACTCCAAAGCATACCCTCACATGCATTTTGCTCTGAGACACGTGGGGTTCGAGGTGAATCTGGAGGGTGGGAAGGGACTTGTCAGGTGAAGGCAAGAAAAAGGTGTTCCAGTCTGAAAGTAGAGCAGGATGAAGACACAGGCAGTGTGGCCCCCAAACTGTCGGGCTCTGAGGGCATCTTCTGGGGGAAGGCCAAAGGGAAGTCTTGTGCTCAGGGTGGAGGGCAGGTCACTTCACATCCTTCTGAGTCTGTTCAGTGAATAATAACTTTCCCAGTTCATGAGAGGAGACGTCAATCCCTAGCTCGGAGGTGAGAATGGAATCGTCGGGTATATGGAGGGTGCAGCGCAGCCCTGGCTCCTGGCCTGTCCTGGGGAGCTCCTGACACAGCATCACAGATGCGGGGAAGAGGCCCAAGCTGGCAGCCCTGTGGGGAAGCAAGTGAAGACTCTGCATGCTGGGGTGTGGACGGGAGCCACAGCAGGGAGGACCCGCCTCCTTCATGGGACCAGCACAGTGTTCTTGGGGATGAGCTGCCCAGAGAGGCTTGTCCCAGGCTGAAGGTCGAGCTGACAGAGCCCAGGGAGAAGCCCAGCAGTGCCCACATGCACGGGAGGAGAGCACGAGGCCAGCTGGGAGGCTGACAAGGAGGGGAGGGAGAAAAGGGGCTTGTGAATGGTTCAGGTAGGAAATGACCCGTTATCGATGTGGCTGCGGGGACGGAGAAGGGAACTGCAGTACAATGCTCAGATGCTTCCCACAGTCGGCCCTTGCCAGGATGTGCTGTGTGTCTGTGTATCCTAGTCTGGGCTGAAGGGACCCTCCTCGGGGAGTGTGTTCCTACAGGATGACATCTGTCCCACGTGGCTTTGCACCTGTGGTGCTGGCTGGTCCTGGGCCCAGGTCAGTGGATCTGGATGGAATGAAGCAGCCACATCTGCGTCACCCCATCTCTGCGAGCCCATCCCACCTGGTCAGACCTGCCAGGCCAACCCCATACCCATCTCTTCACAGCTGAGCTCCGTGCCGCTGCCCCAGCTCCTCCAGCAAGGGCACATCATCCCTTCCAGGCCTCGTCCGAGTCCCCCTCCCCAGCCAGCTGCCACAGAGCCCCACTTGCACTTGGGGAGGACCGAGGCAGGGAGGACGTAAGTGAAGACAGGGGCAGGGATGCCTCCTCCATGATGGTTCTCTGGAATGATGCTCAAGAGCAGGGGGACCTTGGTGATGGTCCCTTCCTCTTTGCTGATGGGCAAATAGAAGTCCCAGAGTGGGTGCTGGGCACGTTGGCTCATGCCTGTAATCCCAGCACTTTGGGAAGCCAAGGTGGGAGGGTCACTTGAGACCGGGAGTTCAAGATCAGCCTGAACAAAACATAGCAAGACCCCACCTCTACAAAAAAGTTTTTTTTAATTAGCCAGGTATGGTGGTGGGTGCCTGTAGTACTAGCTACTCCGGAGGCTGGAGCAGGAGGATCACTTGAGCCCAGCCCAGGCTCGAGGCTGCAATGCAGTAATGGTGCCACTGCACTCCAGCCTAGATGACAGAGTGAGGCCCTGTCTCTTAAAAACAAACAAACAAACAAAATCCAGATTGGGACTAGGTGCCCAGGGGCACTGATCTGAGGCTCTGAGGGACCCCATTAAGGTCAGCAACTTTTTATTTTATTTGCTAAAACCCAAATTTCCAGGCCTCAGATCCTTGACTTGTCAGCAGTATTCTCTATTTTGAAAATATATTTCTCTCCCCGACACAAACCTTCTACTTCTCCAATCAGTTTTCCTGTGTCTGCACTGCCATTACATGTCCTCAAGAGTTCCCCAAGCCCTTCCCTTGCCCCTTGTTCTCTCTCCCTAGCAGGCTCAGCCGCCGCAGCTTGAGTGACTACATCTGGCTCTGAGCCGCTCTGGCCCAGAGTTCTCTCCTGAGTTTCTGATCCACGTGTCTAGCTGCCCCTGGGCATCTCCTGAGGCACTGCGTGCTCCTGTGTCCACATCTGCACTGACGATTTCCTCTGTGTTCTCCCCAAATTCTCACGCCTGTTGAGCCCCGTGCAGGGCATAAAGTGCCAACCATGCCAGTGCAAAGGCCAGAGACCTTCCTTACCGGCACGTGTCATCCACGAGTTTCAGTTCCCGAACATCTTCTTACCCACCTTCCTGCGTCCCCACCGCCCCACGAGCCTCCTCCAGCTCTGGTTTGAAGGGTGACAGCCTCCTGACCGGGCTCCCAGCTCTGTCCCTGTCTCCATACCTTCCCTTCTCCATGCAGCCGTCCATCGGCTTTTGAAAACCTGAAGCAGGTCCTGCCACTTTCCCACTTATAAACCTTTACCAGCCTCTTGTTCCTCTTAGGATAAAGGCCCAGATGTTACCAAGTCTTAGGGGGCTCCTGCTGACCCCTCTAGCCTCAGCCTCCCTTCACTCTGCATTACAGCCTCCTGGCCGTTCCAGGAATTCTCCAAGATCCTACTCATCACAGAACTGTGCAAAGAGCCAAGGAGAGGCCACCGCAGGTATGTTTCCATATTATCCGTTTATATTCATTTGTGAAACTCTTTGATGAATGCCTCTCTACCCTGCTTAGAATGTAGAAACTTTCCCTTGCCCCATTTTAAGATGTAAGAATGCATGTGTCGTAAAAGCTTCTCATCAGAGGCTCAGATTCTTCAGGTACCAGACCCCATGTGGCCAGGTGGATCCCACCTATGAGCACAGGGAGCCCAAGGGCTTCTGAAATAGCAACACTTGGTAGCATGGCCCTTGGGGGCACAGAGACCCTGTCCCCAGCCGTGATGTCAGTGACCATGCCTGGCATATAGAATATAAGTTCCATGAGGTCAGTGGCCACACCTGGCTTATGGAAGTAGCATGGTAAACATGCATTGACCTCAGGCTCCTCTCAGGGAGGATGCCTCTGGGTTCAGGTCACTGAGTTATGCAGGGAAGGTGCACATTTTCCTGGAGTGCCGGGCGAGGTCTGGGCACCTGGAGCCTAGCACCAGGGGTCAGTGAGAGGGAGGCTCCACGGAGGTAATGGCCATAGGGGAAGGGAAGAAATGCTGACTGAGGACTGGTCCTTGAAGTGGGGGAAGAATTGTTTTATTTTCCACCCATATGAGAAGCAAGAGGGGAGAGTCCTGAAGGAAAGGAGAGTCCACCTTGAGTGTTTATTTCAAGGTGAGTGGCCCTTATGTTCTCTGTAAATCACTACCACACACTTGGGACTGAGGCACATCCTTTTTTTTTGAGACGAGTGTCACTCTGTCACCCAGGCTGGAGTGCAGCAATGCCATCTCGGCTCACTGCAACCTCCGCCTCCCAGGTTCAAGCGATTCTCCTGCCTCAACCTCCCAAGTAGCTGGGACTACAGGCACATGCCACCATGCCCAGCTAATTTTGTATTTTCAGTAGAGACAGGGTTTCCCCATATGGGTCAGGCTGATCTCGAACTCCTGACCTCAGGTGATCTGCCTTACCTTGGCCTCCCAAAGTGCTGGGATTACAGGCATGAGCCACAGAGCTTGGCCTGTGTAGACAACTTTAATGAGGCTGAAGACTTTTAGACCACCAATCCCCAAGCAGAGGTAATCTGGTAATCACTTATATGACTTTTAAGTATCCTTATGAGCCTTTTCTTCCACAGTTATTACACACATGTACATATATAGTTTCCCATAGAAAAATACAGTATTTGATTGGTATCTCACTGTTCGTAGCTGTCAGCTTCTTAGTTTCTTCACTCGGTGTTGTATTATGTTGGTGCCAAAGTAATTGCAGTTTTTGCATTAAAATAGCACTGCAGTTACTTATGCACCAAACTAATACCCTGAAAAGCTTTGCGAATCTGTGTGGCTCCTCCTCATTCTTCTTCATTTCTATGTCTCCTATAATGACGATATTCCACAGCTTATTAGGACAGCTAATAATAAGGACAGCTTATTATCCCTGATGATGGATAATGAAATAGTTCCCAGTATTTTACACCACACACGTACCATTTAAAGAACGGGAACATTAGCCAGCCACGGTGGCTCATGCCTGTAATCTCAGCACTTTGGGAGTCCAAGACAGGAGGATTGCTTGAGCCCAGGAATTTGAGACCAGCCTGGACTTGAATATAGTGAGACTCTGTCTCCATAAAAACAATAAAAATTAGCTGAGTTTAGTGGTGTGTGCTTGTAGTTGAGGGAAGGAGGTTGAGGTAGGAGGATCGCTTGAGCCTAAGCAGCCAAGGCTGCAGGGAGCAGTGATTGTACCACTGCAGTCCAGCCTAGGCAACAGGGCAATACCGTCTCAAAGAGTAAGATTAAAAAAAGATTTGTCTGTATCGTAGCATAGGTCAGAATCTCCTTCCTTTTAAAGGCTTAGTAATATTCAATTGCATGTATATATCACATTTTGCTTATCTACTCATTGGTCCGTGGATACTTGGGTTGCTTCCATGTTTTAGTTATTCTAAATAATGCTGCTATGAATGTAGGTGTGCACATTATCTCTTCAACACCAGGCTTTCAATTCCTCTGGGTAAATACACAAAGGTAGAATTGCTGGATCACACGATAATTCTATTTTTAACTTTTTGAGGAATCACCTTACTGTTCTCCACAGTAGCTGTGCCATTTTACATGCCTATCAACAGTGTACACAGGTTCCAATTTCTCCGCTTGCTCACCAACATCTATTTTCTGCTACTTTTAAAAAATAGTAGCCATCGACTGGGTGTGAGTGGGTATCTCACTGTGGTTTTGATGTGCATTTTCCTAATGATAAGTGGTGTTTAGAATCTTTTTATGTGCTTATTGGACATTTGTACGTCTTCTTTGGAGAAATGTTTATTCAAGTTCTTAGCCCATTATTGTGTTGAGTTGTTTTGTTGTGGTTGAATCTTAGGAACCCTGTGTATATCCTGAGTATCAATCCCTTATCAGATAGATGACTTGCAAATATTTTCTCCAATCGAAGAGATTGTCTTTTCACTCTATTGATAGGGTCTTTTGATGCACAAAATCTTTAAATTTTCATGGAGTCCAATTTGTCTATTTTTTCTTTATTTCCTGTGTTGTTAGCGTCATGTTCAAGAAACCACTACCAAATCTAATGTCATAAAACTGTTGCCCTATGCTTTCTGCTAAAAGTTTTAGAGTTTTAGATCTTACATTTAGGTCTTTGATCAACTTTGAGTTCATTTTTGTATGTGGAGTTAGCTAAGGGCCCAGTCTCATTCTGTTGAATGAGATATTCAGTTTTCCAAGCATCAGTTGTGGAAAAGACTGTCCTTTCCTCCACTGAATGGTCTTGTACCCTTGCTGAAAACCATTTAACAATATATGAGAGGGTTTGTTTCTGGATTCTATATCCGACATGTCTGTATGTCTGTCTTTATGCTGGTACCACACTGTTCTGACTACTGCGGCTTTATAGTAAGTTTTGAAATCAGTAAGTGTGAGTTTTCCAGCTTTGTTCATCATTTTCAAGATTGTTTTGGTTATTCGGTTATTATTGTCTTATCAAACAAGAAATAATCTTTAGACAAGCAGAGGACCAGGTGAAGGTGCAGAAAGATTGGGCTCCGATCCGTGTGGAACAAGGGGAACAGTAGGGGATAATGAAGGGAGACCGGTGCTGGAGGGTGGAGGCTTAACATGGGAGGTAGCTTTATCCCAGATAGTTTTGTTTTGTTTTGTTTTTTGAGACGGAGTCTTGTTCTGTTGCCAGGTTGGAGTGCAGTGGCACAATCTCAGCTCACTACAACCTCCACCTCCTGGTTCAAGCAATTCCCCTGCCTCAGCCTCCTGAATAGCTGGGACTACAGGCACGCACCACCACGCCCAGCTAATTTTTTTGTATTTTAATAGGGATGGGGTTTCATCATGTTGGCCAGGATGGTCTTGACCTCCTGACCTTGTGATCCCGCCCGCCTCGGCCTCCCAAAGTGCTGGGATTACAGGCTGAACCACCACGTCCGGCCCTATCCCAGAGAGTTTTAAGTTGTCAGGTTATTGGTTAGCCTTGACCAAAAAATCCTTTAAAGAAGCAATCTTAAAATTGGATTTACATTTACAGGTGTCAGTGCACGAATAAAAATCTGCTGCATGGCCCGGTGCGGTGGCTCACGCCTGTAATCCCAGAATTTTGGGAGCCAAGGCAGGCCGATTGCTTGAACCCAGGAGTTCAAGACAAGCCTAGCCAACGTGGTGAAGCCCTGTCTCTACTAAAAAATACAAAATTAGCTGGGCCTGGTGGTGCGCACCTGTAATCCCAGCTACTCAGGAGGCTGAGAGGAGAATTGCTTGAATCCAGGAAACAGAGGTAGCAGTGAGCCAAGATTGCACTACTGCACTCCAGCTTGGGTGACAGAGTGAGTGAGACTGTGTCTCAAAAACAAACAAAGAAATAAAATTAAAAATGCCGTGCTTCTTGGGCCAGGGGAATTTTATTCTCTTTCTGTTTTAAGGCACTTCTCAAATGAGCAGCTTGAATGAAATTAAATGTTCCCCCAAAGTGTACGTTGAATGCCAAAACATCCTTGGTGAAATTCTGCCATTTAGAGAGATAGAAGTTGTGGTGGTCATGTGGGTACTATCAGAAACTGGAAGTTTTCACAGAGTGGGGGTTAGATTGGGAAGACTCCTGGTTACTGCAATTCAGAGTTACAGACAGCTGAAGGTACTTTGACAACTTAGTCTCTTGGGCCCCTGATATAATGGTCAGCCCCTCAGAATTTAGATCTGACAGTCTTGAGTCCCTAGCAGGTAGAATATATCACCTGCTAGGTGATATATGCAGAGAGAGAATGTTCTCTCTGAATCTAAACCAGGTTCTCAGGACAAATAGCCAAGATGAGAAGACAATCTCGTCAGGTGTTACTGGTCACCCACGGCAAAGTTTGTTCTCAGAGGATGTTGGTCTGGAGAGAACTGCAGACTTTCCAATCTGTGAGGCCGTCCCAAACAGCCAAATTACAGGAGCTATGCCTGCATTCTAAACTTCCTTCCCATGATTAAATAACACTTAAGTGCTGGGCGCAGTGGCTCACGGCTGTAATCCCAACACCTTGGGAGGCTGAGACGGGTGGATTACCTGAGGTCAGGAGATCGAGACCAGCTGGTCAATATGGTGAAACCCCATCTCTACTAAAAACACAAAAAATTAGCCAGATGTGGTAGCAGGAGCCTGTGATCCCAGATCCTCGGGAGGCTGAGGCAGGAGAATCGCTTGAACCTGGGAGACAGAGGTTGGAGTGAGCTGAGATTGTGCCATTGCACTCCGGTCTGGGCAAGAACAAGACTCTGTCTCAATAAATAAATAAATGAGTGAATGATTGAATAAATAAACAAATAAATTTTAAGGACACAGGAAAAAAACAAGGGACAGGTAGAGGCAAATCACCAAGGGTGCAGCTCCAAAGGGAAACATTAACCAAATAGAAATACCTGAATTTGACAAGTAAATAAAACAGTCAAGGAACTCAGCACAAAGAGAGTGGAGTTGGCCGGGCACAGTGGCTCATACC